CAGCAACAGCAGCAACAACAACAGCAACAACAGCAACAACAACAGCAACAACAACAGCAACAGCAACAACAGCAACAGCAACAACAACAACAGCAACAGCAACAACAACAACAGCAGCAACAACAACAGCAACAACAACAACAACAGCAACAGCAACAACAGCAGCAACAGCAACAGCAACAACAACAACAGCAACAGCAGCAACAGCAACAACAACAACAACAACAACAACAACAACAACAACAACAGCAACAGCAGCAGCAACAACAACAATAGCAACAACAACAGCAGCAACAACAACAGCAGCAGCAGCAACAGCAACAGCAACAGCAACAACAACAACAACAACAACAACAACAACAACAACAACAACAACAACAACAACAACAACAACAACAGCAACAACAACAACAACAGTGAAATAGATGCATGGGAAATCTCTGGAATGGTCAGGTTTTGAGAGATCCAGGTCTAGTCCAACTATTGGGCCAATTGGGGTCACACGCCCATATTCATGTTGCCACAATTAAATAACGACGAATCGATGTTATAACTGGGTGGGTGGGTTTTTATGTGAACTTGTCAACGTTATTTCGTGGCAACTTGACAATTAATGTCCAAAGTAAGTTAAGTAACTATAACAGTACAGCTTTTGTATTATAAATACTAAAGTCAAAATACGACTGAATATCAATGTTTTTTATCTAGAGTGAGTGGGTGGGTAAAGTAATAATGTCGATTCGACGTTTTAATATTTGTGGCGACATGAATATGGACGTGGCCCTTTATATGATCCAGTCCAACTTTTATGACTGCCTATATCAATACAATTACAGTTAGTTCAAGTTGTAAATATATGCATGTTTCCATGAAAAATCAAGAAAAGGGAGGCATATTTCAAAGACAACAATAATTTATGAAGTCTATTCAAAGACTGTTTGCATAAAAATTAAAGTTTTAGAGCGTAAAATTTTGCCTTTAATAGTTGCATGTATGCTAGACATCGCGACTAATTTCAATCACTGAAATGTACTTTACATAAAGACCTTCTTTTGAACGATCTAAACATTAAACGACATCGCATATTGTAGCTTTGCCCGTTTGTCGTTTTGGGGGAAATAGCAGTTCCAAAAGCTGGAAAAATCATTAACGTAGTGCAAGAAGAACATATTTATTCGTTTGAATTTGTTCCCCCAGCAAGAAAATATCATAAAACTTGTTTCGAGACGAGCACAGCTCAAGCTGCCTTCCTCACTAAAACCCATACCTGAGTGGCCGAAATCCTTAGGACTCCGCCAAACGCAAAATCGACTTTTTGTGTTGTTTTCAAAGCGATGCATGACCTCATCTGCCTCTTGCAAAGTTTTAACATACTTGGGGTACAAGCCACAAGCAATTGGAGTAGGTTTATGAACATATTCTATGGAAATTTCGGGCGTTTGCTCTGGAATTTCAGTTTGCACAATCTCAGTGCGTTCTTCTGACTCCGCCATTTTGGTTTATGGCATGCAGTCAGTTATACGGTTTTTTACCCTATTCATATCTCGCAAATACCTGTTAAAAAACAATTGAAAAATTACAACTTATATTTCCTTTTCATGCTATACTATTAATACTAAATTACTTGCCATGTATTTACTATACCTATGTTAATACTTTTAGCAGAATTAGTTTGAATTTAATACCAAAAAGTTGGTTTGTAAAAATGCATAGATTTCACTCGCATATACAAGAAAAAATCTCCGGGGTTAAAAACCGTATAGCATAGTATCAACGGGGAAAAGCCCCTTTGGGGAAAGATGTTTTAGAAAATGTGGATTATCATTTATTAACCAATGGAAGTTGATCTGATGAGTAATACCAATCATAATTCTGCCAGGAGTGAACAGACTGGGGCACAGGAAATTGTTGATGAATCATGTTTGACCGAACCGCCATCATGTCCCAGATGTCCGAATCCTGTACCTGAAATGACCTCGGCAGAACTAACCCCTCTGGATATGAGCGTGGCAGAACTGGCCCCACTGCAAGCGGTTAAGTTACACAATGTTACGACAGTTGAAGTCAGTAAAAACTCAACTAATGTCAACAAGGACGAGACGTTGATTAACGCAACATATCCAGTTTATGTGAAATCGCTTTCTGAAGCTGAAGATGTATTGCATAGATTTGAAAATGATACTAAGACCCGGTATTCTGTATGGAGATGCCCCAAGGATTTTGGAAACTCTCGTAAGCAATGCATGAAGTACGCCTCGTAGTTTTGGTTGACTATGCTGCTGTAGTAATAATTGCCAACAGAATTGGACATTATCCTGTGTTCATGCAGTAGCATAGCAAACCAAAGCGCCTGGGCTGGGTACAAGGTTGTCAGAGTAGAGTACATGTGCAAGAACATTGCAGTACATAGAAGTACATGAAAGTACGTAGAAGTACATAGGAACTTATGGCTGGGGCTGTGATTGCCGCCATTAAGAGCAAATAAAAGTATGCAAAATAAAGCAGATCTTGAACGTATACATGCCGTCATTGCAGATTCTATGGATTGGATAACTGCACATGCCATCTTTATAGCTTAAATATATAACACAAAGCTGCAGTAGTATGTACTTAAACTACCGAGAAATGATTAACCCATTAACTTGCATTGTGCCCTAATGCACCCTACTTTTTTAACCCTACTTGTATGCACCCTACTACTTTTTTTTACTTGAAGTGGCAATGCATCATACTTTATTATTTTACTCTGTCTAACGCCAGTTGATTTTACTCATCAGGGGGAGAGTGGCTACCACTCAATGGGTTAACTCTGTCTAAAGCTGAAAATTACATTGAAATTACATTGAATTAATTAATGCATTGTGTAGAAATTGATGTGACAAACAAGCGGATCTACTGGCAAGAGTTTGACATTGGAGATAAGATCACTGTGAAATCAGATGGTGTTCCATTTATCATGATGGGACGGAAGGTTTTTGACTGTCATTTTGGCAAGGATAGAAATGTCAAACTGAAAGAGAAATTGAGACTTCAACGTGAAGAAGTGGTAAAGGTCCGCAGCATCTGATTTTTCAAATCATTTTACATATTATGCAGGTTTTCTCCTATTTCTGCCTGCAGTAGTACTTCAGTACCAACTATAGATGAGCTTTACTGCACCTCTTGGTAAAAGGTTTAGAAGAGACAGAGTATTAGTAACAACTGGTGAACTGGTCAGTTTTTTATGTCAGATACATTCTTGAGCCTACTAGGAAGTTACTAGTGTATGATATGCCCTCTTTTAGAGTGAAAGCACAAAGGCCAGGAAAACTCCGCCAACAAGAAAACTTGACTGTCCAGCTAAGGTTGTCTTTTGTGAGATCATCTACTTCCCAGATTTCAAGGTATGCTAATCATTGAACTCTAAATGGTCTTACAGTGTGAGATAATATGGCTTAACATATGAAAGACCTAGGTTTTACTTAGGCTAATGGTAAGGGCACAAGTTATAAAAATAGGTACACTAAGCGTACACAAATTTCCACAATGGACAAAAGGTATACCCTCTCCAGATCAACTGTATTCATTTGTTATTAATCAAATATGTAAAATGACATGCATAAAACGTCATGTATAGATATTTAACTAGTTATTACTTCAATATATTTCATATCTAAAAGATTTCTAGCAATACAAAGTATTATCGTGGAGTTGTTGCAAAGAAGATTAAGGAAAGTTTTGCTGCTGGTTCTGTGAACATGCAAAGTATTGAGAGAAGAATCTACATTTCATTTCCAACTTCTGATGAACATACAGGACATCCAACCAGTATTCAGGTACAGTTAACAATGTTATATGTTTCATGCAATGGGTTGATTTATAGCTGAAGAAGGATCATCTGTCATAGTCTAAACATAAGAGAAACTGTCCAGACAAACTACGCTGATAGACGAACTATACACACACAAGTCCATCTAAATTAAATAATTGACTAGTTCATCTTGATGGATGACCTGTCTCTTTCCCACGTTCATACAGACGAATTAATTATCATACGAAATATTATCTTTTCTTAGCCAGAGTTCATCCAAATAGATCCTCCATATAAATCATGCTATTATTATCCTGTGAGTACTTTACTATTCATGGTCTCTATTTTTATTCCAGAGCACAAGTTTATCAACTCGAGTGGATCCAAAAATATCAAAGAAACTTTCTGCGCTTGTTTTATCAGGCATAAGAAACGAAAAAGAAATGAAAGAACAACTAGACACATATATCACCCGAGATCTCTACCCTGGCAAAGCAAAACCGTTTCGCGCAAACAAACGGTACTTTCCAAACACTGGTGTAATAAGAATGAAAATGTTTAATGAGTTAGTGCTACAACGCCTCATGCTGTTAGATTGTGTTGAAGTTGACGAGCTGGTCGAGCGAATACAGAATGAGAATCAGGATGATAAGATTTACACTCGTAAATTTGATGGAATGAATGAAGTTTTAGGGCAATTGTCGTTCAATCTTTCTGTAGAAGAGCTTTTGGGCGACGAGGTTCGAGTTAGACAGAGATTTTCTCGACAGCAGTTCATTTTCGTGCACCAGACCTCGTTCCAACGTCACCTCCTAAAACGTTACGGCGACAACGTGTGTTTCCTTGATCCAGTATATAGAACAGTCAAGTATCCACTGCCGTTGTTTTTTCTCATGGTGAAAACCAATGTTGATTATCAAGTTGTTGCAACATTTGTCGTGCAAGATGAAAACATGGAGTCCACCAAGGAGGCGCTCGAGTTTATAAAAACCTGGAACCCAGAGTGGAAACCCAAGGTGTTCATGGTTGATAATGATAGTGAGGAGATTACGTCTGTTCAAGAATGTTTTCCAGGTCTGTTTAAGAGTCCAGGTTTGGGTGCAGCGCGGACTATTGTGTGGTGTCAGCAAGTGTTTACCAAAAACTAAAGCCTCGGTCAGACGAGGATGAGAGTTCCAACACTCGCTCGCTTTTCACTGCCAACTCTCATCGACTTTCATGTACTCATAAACTGCTTCAAATTTTGATGAGAGTTGATGTGGACTCTTGTCAACTTTGAGCTAGTTCAAATTTCGATGAGCACTGATGAGACGCTACCTGCGTGGTATAATAACCATTTAACCATATGCAACTCTTGTTCTCGTTTGACGGGGCATGAGAGTTGAGAAAAATCTCATGCAAACTCTCGCTTCTCAACTCTCATGCAACTCTTGGTCTCGTTTGACCGGGGCATGAGAGTTGAGAAAACTATCACACAAACTCTCGCTTCTCAACTCTCATCTACTCTCATGCAACTCTCGTTCTCGTTTGACCAGGGCATAAGAGTTGAGAAAACTCTCATACAAACTCGCGCTTGCCAACTCTCATCAACTCTCATTCTTATTTGACCAAGGCGTAACCCTTCCAATATTATTCTCCTTAGAATGCAAAGTATTGCTCAGCGATTTCCACCGTGAACAAGCCTGGGAACACTGGCTGTCTCAGTCATCCAATGGCGTTGTGGCACATAAGAATGCAATCTTAGTGTACTTGCGTCGTATTGCTCACGTTAAATCAGAACGAGAATTTGAAGAAGCTTTGGAATTACTCAAACACACCGATTGCTGGCAATGTGACTACGGACAGTCGTTCAGACTGTGGTTTGAGGAAAAATGGCTTAGTATTAAGGAGGTAGACTCAATACAGTTCGCATGCAGAGGTTGATTTGATAGGCCTTCGCAAAAACTGAAAAATAGGTCCAAACAATGAATGACCGGATGGCATCAAATAGCTTGATCTCTTATTGATGCTTGAATAAGTTGATCTTTTATTATTATCATAAGTATATAATTTGACTCTTAGGTTTTTAAAATGTTTATAACAACTCTACTTTTAATAGCGCTGGGTGCTTGCCTACCAGAAAACTTCGCTGTGTGATCTGTTCATGACAAACTTTACAGTTGAACATCAGAAGAAAGATTTCGCTCATGAAGAAGTACTAAATGAAGCAGAAACATCACTAAGCTTTGTCCTGAAAATGATCATTACGTTCATTTTGCCTGCCAATCGAAATTTGTAAGTGTGGGTAGCTTTGACTATAAGCACGACAGCAGATGGTGGTCAACCTGCAGATATCAGAATGAAAAAAATGATGTAGTAGTGTTGTATTTGGTGGGAAATAAATAGAAACGAGAGATGTAGTTTAATTTTCTTGCTCCGCTAATTGTCAACATTTCTGCAGTTGATCACCATCTGCTGCCCTGACACGCTGACTGAAACCACTAGTATTTCGTACTTCCAAAGACTAGACATCAGCTAGCGAAGCTAATCGGCAAATTTTGAAACCTCTGTCGTATTCCCTTTACAGTTACATGGAACAAAACGTTCCACTCTCGAAAGAAGAAGCGAACATTCCGCCATTCTACCACATGCGACCACAGCAACTTACTGAACACACGGCGGAGTGTATGACAACAGTGAATGAATTTACTGCAGATGATGTTGTTCTAAACAGCCTTGCAAGAGGAGAGTTCATTGTAAAGTCATCTAATTCAGATGTGCAACACAAAGTTCACTTTGGAAATGACGTTGTAAGTATACTGTGTAATGATAGCGCAGTGGTTAATACATGTTCCTTTTACCTCTGTGACATTCTACTCATATAATACTCCAGTTTCATGTAAGAAGCGTCCTTCTAGTTTGACTATACTAAACACCGGTGATAGGGTACTTGCTTGGTATGCTGGATAATCCAAGTGAGCATATATATATATATATATATATATATATATATACACAATTTTAAGACCTAACCAGGATCGGTTGCAAAAAATGCAACACTAAATCCTCTGGCAGGAATTGAACCTGCAGTCCTGCGATTCTGGTACAGCGCTCTAAGCAACTGAGCTACAGAGGTCAGTTGTAACCGCACGTTCTTGTAACGTGTATATAGATTTTCGGGTGTGCCGGTTGTGATAAGGTGAATTTGAAAGATGTTTTTGCACTTTACTTGCTTGGGTCCTTATTGAACTAACAGAGCTATCCAGTATGAAACAAAACAACTTTTTCTTCTAGGAGCCACCTCACTGCGAGTGTCAAGATTGGTCCAGTACCATGTTGCCTTGCAAACACTTCTTGGTCGTCATGCGACATTTCAAGAACTGGAACTGGTCAAGTTTCCCGGAAAGATATCGAAGCTCTCCGTATTTTACACTAGACTCGATCACTGATCAAAACTCCGCTGAAGAAGACCCAATGGGAAACCTAATAGATACGAGTGTGAGCCGACAGGATCCGAGTGAAAGTCGAGCAGATCAGAGTGGAAATCAACCAAATCCGCATACATATCCACCAGACGCAAGCCGAATAAATCCGAATGGTTATCAGCCAGAAAGTTCAAGCTATCAGCGTGAAAGCCAACCAGAACCAAAAGCAAGTCGATTAAAACAGAATGTAAGCTTAACAGTTCCTAGTGGAGATCGAACTGACACGACTGTTAGTCGATCAGACACGAGTATTAACCAAGACAACATTATACCTCCAGTGTGTTTGCACGAGGTGTTGCTTGACAAGATACCTGGAATAAAGAGTACAGCGACTGAATGTCGTGATTTAATAAACAATATTAGCAACCTCATATACTTGGTCCAAGATAAGACAATTCTGACATCGTTATATGACAATCTTCAGGAAATACTGGAACAACTGAAACAGTCTGTAGTTGACGATGATGTGAGCGAGGGGAAGGAGAATAAAGTGTATCCTGTGAATGGGCGGAAACGTCTTGGTAACTGGTGTGAGGACTCCGTTGGAAGAAAGTTGCTTAAAGTGGATGAACATGGAACAATGAAAGTGGATGAGATGGGTATGAGGTGTAGAAGGGAAATTTCGGAGCAAATGTTAGAGTGTGCTGGTGAAGTACAGGGCCATTGTAGGACAATGAATGGTAGTGTGGATGCAACTCGGGGTGCGAGTATTGCGACAGTGGGTGATATGAACGGATGTGGAGGTACATCTGGGAGTATGAACAGTGATATTGACACATCTGGGGGTGTGAATGCCAATGTCATGACATCCGAGACCTCGGGTGGTATGAACGGTAATGCAGGTATATCTAGGGATATGGACGGTGACGTGGTGGTATCTGGGGGTTTCAACGACAATGTTGGTACATCGGTGAACACAAACGTTACAAATGGCAATACTGGGGGACCTGAGGAGGCATCTGTGATCACAGGTAGTGGTACCGTGTCTGGGAACACAGATAATCCACGTGAATCAATTGAAAGTTCAAACGATCCTCAACAATTGAATGGGAGTCAATCAAATGAAAAGTCTGCCTTACATTTCTCAGAATTAGGAGAGAACGGAATCACAATGTTGTATTCCAACCCAGCGGGAAGTTTATCAAAGTATGAAGAAAGACTTTTAACCAAACAAGAAGAGATTGCACACAGTACAGTGAACCTTGCTCAAGACATCTTAAGAGAATCATTCCCAAATGTTAAAGGCCGTCAGACTGTCGCCCATGGTCCTATTCAAACATTTGAGCATGTTAGTGGCGATTTTATTCAGATCTTACATGATGGTTATACCCACTGGACTTGTGTGAGTAACGCGAGGCTTGATGTAAAAGACCCTGCTGCAGTGAACATGTATGACAGCATGAATCAAGGTTTTATCGCTAAGTTCACGAAACAACAGCTTGCATCGTTCATGTGTATTCAAAGTGCTGAAATGAAAGTAATCATGAAGTCAGTTCAACAACAAACCTCACATGTTGATTGTGGTGTATTCGCCATCGCTTTTGCCACAGCGCTCGCGTTTGGTCAAGATCCGAGCAAGTTCCGTTTTGACGTGCCTAAAATGCGGCCACATCTCGTCAAATGTTTGAAGTTAAAAAAGATGAGTCCGTTTCCTGAGATGAAGCCTAGCTGTAGCGATATTGTGTTATCCAAGAGGAAATTTTATACAATCGAGTTGTTTTGCAGCTGTCGTATGCCGTACGAGAAGCCGAAGAATGAAGCTGACCTGATGGCGCAATGCAGTGTCTGTAGTGAATGGTTTCATGAACGATGTGACAGTTTGAAATCACCAGGACAGCATTTTGTCTGCAGGTTATGTGCAAGAAAAGTGTGTAGCTAACAACCTCGTCCTCTCTTCATGCTAGTGTGAAGCTAACAACCTGGTCCTTTCTTCATGCTAGTGTGAAGCTAATTCACTCATGCAATAACATTTGACCGATAGAAACGGTCGCCTTAGGCGCTTGTATTGATAACAAAAGAGAGCATACACATCCAGAAAGTTTATGTATATTTTAAAGTCCTCATGTCAAAAGTTATTGAAATATACTTGTTTGAAACATATCTCTCGTGTTTTTTTTTCATACAGGACGTATACAACATTAGAAATTTTTAATTTGTAAGTCGTCACAAGTCTTTGTTTCAATAAGTTACCGAAAATCTACCACAGAGGATCTGTATTCCAACACAGTACTAAACTGTTAATTCTCTTCATTATATGCAGCAGTCTTGTATTTGGAGCCAAATAAACTAAAAATTGAAAGATGCAGCTTCATTTTCTTGCATCATCTGCCCGTAACGCTATACTGAAATCCACCAGCAAATAAATGCTTTTTCACTTGTACTCACGCCTTATCTTCGAATGCGGCGACATGAAATTTTCGTTTGCATCCTTGGTAGTTCATGAAATGTATCTTTCCAAACACAGGTCGTCCAGCCCAGCATCCTAGAAACAACTCCAAATTATTTCGATTGATAATTCGTGTGTGTGTTGAATGCGGAAAACAGGGTGGATCGTCCGTCAAGATGAACTACACGCGTAAAAATCTGACAGCTTGTCAACAAGATGTGTTCGCACTGCTTGTTCCCAGTTGTTGACAAGTCTGAAACAAGTTGTCATCATCTTGGCTTGTAACAAGGTTAATGAGGCCAACAGACTCTCAAAACTTGTTCCAACAAAATTTTTTAAAAATGTCAGTCAGAAATTAAATTTGATTCGTATTGTTCTAATTAGTTGATTAGTCGATTAATTAGTAATCATCATCAGATTGTAACGTGTCTAATTACATATCCACGGAAGTGGCTATTTATGCAAATTAGATGAAACTTGCCATGCATATCATTTCACTGTATAGCCTGAATATTCAATTTCATAACAATATAGAGTGTTTGAACTATTGTGGCAGTGTAATCGCGCAAGAACAGCAGACAAAATGGGCGACTTAGAAGCAACATTTAACAGTTTCTGTGCTTTCGGAGCAGGGGCTAAAGGAGCAGCAGCTACGATGGATAATTCGAAATTTGCCAAGCTGTTTCGTGATTTGAAATTGCTGGATAAGAAACTCACTGCTACAGATATAGATATCATATTTAACAGACCAGAAGTTAAGAGGTAGGATTGAGTAGTAGTAATATTTACCCAAAATAATTGATACTGTATTCGTACGTTTCAGTAAGCGCTATTGATTGTGTCAACTTCAGATAGGTTCAAATTCATAGGAAGAATAAAATTAAGCGACATTTCTCAATTCTATTTAGATGCCTTCTATTTATAATGAAAAGAATTATTTTCTCTTTCTAATAATAACATTTTCTCCCTCTGATATCTGCAGCTTCACCGCCGTCTGCTTCACGATATAGTGTTGTGTAAATTTGAAATGAGAGCCTTGGCTCCACAGCTAGTATGCCAGGGTCAAGGAATATATAGTGTACAAACTTTGGTACATAACACACTAACAGTCTTTGTTTATTCACAGCAAAACCGATCGAAAAATCACTTTTGCACAGTTTCAAAACGCGTTGGTACTAGTAGCTGAGAAAAAGTACGGTCAGGGCGAAGATGGTGTAAAGAAATTAAAGGACAAAATCGCCGCCGGAAAAGGTCCTGGCACATCAGGCGTTACGGTAAGAGATACCAGAGTTGTTAGAATGCAAATGTCAGTAGTAAAATCACTGAATGATATTAATTTGTTTACAAACTTAAAAACATTTCATCGATTGTAACAATTAGCGGATTCTTGGACCTTATTGATATCTGTGCAGCATAAAAACGCATGCAGTTTTAAAAAATATACTAGACAACTTCTTGCAGATTCCGTTTGTGTTTGAACTAATTCCAACCGCAAAATTGCTCTATGTTTACAGAGTTATTTCCTGTGGTGTCTTTGCGCTGGGCCTTATACCGATCAAAGCAACGTAAATTTTGATATTTAGGAAATACATTTCAATAGATAACACACTAAAACAAGAGGCAAAAGATAAATGTGTGAAAATGCAAATGAAGAAACGATTATTAAAATTTCAGTGGAAAAGATTATCGATCTGTTTCGTTTTGCGTTAGCGTGGCGGTTGCTAGGGACTATGTAAACTCGCGTGAACCCATGCAATGCAGAGCTCTGTGATATTCCCGAAAACTGCATGAGTTTCCAATAAAGTTTTAAAAGTAACAATCTTCTGCTGCCATAATGCTAGTGTCAGAGATCTACAATGTAGCAAGAAAAAACCGCTAACACTCAATAAGTTTATTGGCGTTTTAAAAATTCATAATTGTTGACCCGAGTTAATGATAATATACAGCTCGGTACTCGGTACCAGTAGGGTACCGGTGGCTTTGTTGAGCCGCTGAAGTTTCTAATGTGTGTTTTAAATATTAATTACTTGTAAAAATAACGCTTATTGCCTCTCAAAAACATTTGGTAAAAAGAGTGACTTTTTAAAGTTAGACTTTTCCAATTTAGGAGCAGGGATAACATCTTAATGCCTTCTTCGCCTCATTCAGGTTCTAAAATTCTACTAATCTACTCAGTCACAGAAACGAAAGAGAAAAATATTTAAATTCTAAATTATGAAAGTGGTCTATTCGAGAGGGGGAGGGGCACTTTGTCGAGAGGGGGAGGGGCACTTTGCCCCCCAAAGCAGCGTAGGTCCTTAACTGAGAATATAAATCCTAGCTGAGTTAGGGCCGATAATATGCAATAAAGTGTAATATATTGTAAAACACCACTTCTCCCGTTTCACAATTATCACGTCATAGGGCGCGCGCAACCTTGATGACTCTTTAATTTCATTTCATTTCAGAAAGCAACAAAAGCTGGAGCAGTTGACCGCTTGACAGACACATCAAAATACACAGGCTCACACAAGGAGAGATTTGATGATGCAGGCAAGGGAAAAGGTCTAGACGGACGAAAAGATTTTGACAACAAGGCTGAGTCAGGATACGTTGGTGGTTACAAAGGAAAAGACACCTATGACAAAACTCACTGAACACTTGACTTGTATGCGGACTTTGTTTCTTATAAAATACTATTTTTAGTTAATTTAAACTGCACTAGTTATCATTAAATCATCGGTACAGTATTAATTTGCTGAACTGTGCTCCTTTCTTTTAATTAAAACGCACAGCTTGAACGCAAACCGTTACATATTTACTTAGGTCTTAGCTTTATAGAAAGGCCTTTGCCATGTATTTTACTTTTTGGTCGTTGTATATTACACAAGACTTTATGTTATCATTGCTGTGTAATAAGCTCAAACTGAATTCCCATTGTTGTGTTTTTTCGTTGGAAAAAGTAGTATATATATACAGGAGCTTTGCTTGAGTTTAGACTGAAGTGAAAGTTATGTACAGCTATCGTAAATCATATTTGTTTCAATTTTTCGCCATTCAGGTTTTTAACGTACTTTTCAAGAGATCCAAACTGCTTTGCAAAATAATATATTCAATATATTCTAGATTATATCATAATTTATATCTTTCTATATTGCTGGCTTTCACTGAGACTAACAGAGCAGCAAATGGTGCAACCTCGTACCCAGAAAGAGCCTGGGTACGAGGTTGCAAATGGTGGACAATCTCAGAAAATTTTCATACTTACCTTAACATTATTTTCTCACTCTGATAACTGCAGTTTGTCCACCATCTCCTGCACGATAGTGCTTAGTGAAACTCAGCTATACTGGTAGTTTTGAATATCTTACACTATCAACATTACCACTCAAGTACAGCACACCAGTTTATAATGACCACCATCTCCTGCACGATAGTGCTTAGTGAAACTCAGCTATACTGGTTTGAATATCTTACACTATCAACATTACCACTCAAGTACAGCACACCAGTTTATAATGACCACCATCTCCTGCACGATAGTGCTTAGTGAAACTCAGCTATACTGGTAGTTTTGAATATCTTACACTATCAACATTACCACTCAAGTACAGCACACCAGTTTATAATGACCACCCTCTGCTGCACGATAGTGCTTAGTGAAATCCAGCTATACTGGTAGTTTTGAATATCTTACACTATCAACATCACCACTCAAGTACAGCACACCAGTTTATAATGACCACCCTCTGCTGCACGATAGTGCTTAGTGAAATCCAGCTATACTGGTAGTTTTGAATATCTTACACTATCAACATTACCACTCAAGTTCAGCACACCAGTTTATAATGACCACCATCTCCTGCACGATAGTGCTTAGTGAAACTCAGCTATACTGGTAGTTTTGAATATCTTACACTATCAACATTACCACTCAAGTACAGCACACCAGTTTATAATGACCACCCTCTGCTGCACGATAGTGCTTAGTGAAATCCAGCTATACTGGTAGTTTTGAATATCTTACACTATCAACATTACCACTCAAGTTCAGCACACCAGTTTATACTTATCTATGTTTTGTGCAACGTCTTCTCGACTTTGGGTATCCAATCAATTGATTTCTTTATTTATTTATAATGACCACCATCTCCTGCACGATAGTGCTTAGTGAAATCCAGCTATACTGGTAGTTTTGAATATCTTACACTATCAACATTACCACTCAAGTACAGCACACCAGTTTATAATGACCACCATCTCCTGCACGATAGTGCTAGTGAAATCCAGCTATACTGGTAGTTTTGAATATCTTACACTATCAACATTACCACTCAAGTTCAGCACACCAGTTTATACTTATCTATGTTTTGTGCAACGTCTTCTCGACTTTGGGTATCCAATCAATTGATTTCTTTATTTATTTATAATGACCACCATCTCCTGCACGATAGTGCTTAGTGAAACTCAGCTATACTGGTAGTTTTGAACATCTTACACTATCAACATTACCACTCAAGTACAGCACACACCAGTTTATAATGACCACCATCTCCTGCACGATAGTACTTAGTGAAACCCAGCTATACTGGTAGTTTTGAACATCTTACACTATCAACATTACCACTCAAGTACAGCACACACCAGTTTATAATGGCCACCATCTCCTGCACGATAGTACTTAGTGAAACCCAGCTATACTGGTAGTTTTGAACATCTTACACTATCAACATTACCACTCAAGTTCAGCACACCAGTTTATACTTATCTATGTTTTGTGCAACGTCTTCTCGACATTGGGTATCCAATCAATTGATTTCTTTAACTGTTTATAACTCCAATGTAGTTGGTTCACTTCGCTCTGGTGACGATCTTTCTCTTGAGACAACTCAAGTAGTAAGTGATCGTTCGTCGCAACGAGAGATCTACATGAGAAGAGACAAAACAAAGTCACAACAACTGGGAACAAGCTCCATCTAGCTCGTATCTTTTTCTTTCTCATGAAAACGAAGCTTACCTATGACTCTCCTGCAACATGCTTGCTAACTCGTTCAATTGTTGTAAGTTTTCCCTCTGTTGATCCAAACGTTGTTTGAGCTTGTAATTGTCGTCCTGGAGGACTTGATAGTTATTTATTGCTTCGTCTAGAAGTGAAAACATATAAAGCCTGTCGTAGTTTGTTTCAACTTGTCTCTGTCTAATGGAGTCGTCTTTGGTAAACATTTTCGCTCAAAGTCCGTACATACCCGACTGCCTCTGTCTTTCATACACTGTGTCTTTCTGTGATTCAAGTTTAGCCTTGAGGGATTGATTTTCTTCCTGGATTTGTTTAAATCGTTCGTGAAGCGTCGTCTGTAAAAGAGACAGAAAATATTTTCTCACGATCCATTATAAAATTCAAGGTCAAAACGCTACTCTAACTCACCAATTCTTGGCTGGTTTCCTCAAACTGTTGTTGTTTTGCTTTCTCCATCTCCAGTTGACCATGAATGGCAGAACATTCTTCTTGCTGTTGTGTCAGCTGTTGAGAAAGACTGTTCAGTTCCTCTTCCTTCACCAGCATCTCTTGTCGTAATTTCTTCAAGCTTGTTACGTCACGTTCTGGATATTCTGTTGTCGCTTGGTACGACTTGAGCACATCAATGGCGAGTTCTGGTCAAATATAAACATACCCAGGTAGTTTCTCCGTAGCGTATTTGACTAGTTTCATTATTTTTTATATACTGGATAGCTCCAATTTCAAACTGTTCTCCCTAGAGGTCCAGTAACGGCCTTCTCTTAGTGGTTATATATAGTGTTCCCTTTTGTGAATGGGGTCAGTGCATATTTTAAATGTTTTACAGTGGATGCCAAAACCAAGATTCGGGACAAGTGTGGGCTCCCCAGAGTGAGATTTAGGT